CTGGAATGTATCACAACTCCTGAATGTGACTATGAAGGTGGCTGCCCTGAAGAGATCCAGCTGCTACAAGAGTTCTCCACACCCTCACTAACACAGCGGGTAGGAAACGGGGGTGGGGGACTGTCTGCTGGACAAGGTGGGGAGTGGCACAGGTGGGGGGCACCTTCTGCAGCTCCATAAGTGAAGAAGAGTGTGCCTGCTCTTGGCCCCATGGGACCTGGTGCTTAATGCCAGCTCTGCCACTGTCACATGCCATCTGGGCCACATGTTCTAGCTAATCAGCTTCCTTGCCTTGTAAAACAGCGATGGTAATTGCTACTTCCAGGGTTGGGTCTAGAGCCAGCCAAGGGAGATTCACAAGAGCAAAGGGAGGGCTCATCCTTCATTCTCTGCAGCCACAAGGAGGCCACTTCCCTACTAACTGCTTGCCCTTACTCCGCAATCCTCAGTAAATTAATAAAAGAAAGAAAGAAAGATTTATGCTCAGTTGGCCTTGCTATTCTCAGATCAAAAGCAAGGACCTTTCCGCACTCAGGGACCTTGTGTCATTCACTCCCACAGCTGATAGACAACAAAGTTGGGATGCAAGCCCAGCTGGCCTAAGGCAGAACCCATGCCAGGTCCAAGGTCAAGCTTGTGAGATTGTGGAAGAGCAATGGGGAGGAGACATGGAGGAACAGCGTGTCTTCAGGGGATCTATAGTAAAGCCTCTCCTGGTTTAGACAGGAACATCCTGGACTAAGTGGGAAGAGGGAGGAGTTGACACCAAGGCTTTGTCCTTGACACAGATCTCGGTTCCCACAGACTCCTCTGCTCCCATTGCCTCGTGGGTGGCCTGAACCGTACTACACGCTCTTCTGGATTAGATTTCTTCTTCTTGCTTTCCGTGGCTTGGTTGTCTGTGCTTCGGTGGGCAAATTAGTTCCAATGCACAAAAGGAGAGGCTCTGAGCCTCCCCAGTCAGAGGACAGCTTGCCCTACTTCTGGTATCTAGCTCTTTGTCAAGGCTGGAAATGAAGTGAGGCAGGGGCCCCAGACCCCGAGTCTGTCCTGGCATGCAGCCAGAGGCTAGGCTTATACAGTAGGTGATGCCTAGGCTGTGGGAGTCACACAACTGCCCCCTCGTGTGTGTGTGGGGGGGTGGGTGAGAGAGAGAGAGAGAGAGGGAGAGAGAGAGAGAGAGAGAGAGAGAGAGAGAGAGAGAGAGAGAGAGGCTGACTGGCAGTCAATGTCTTTCTCAATTGTTTCCACTTTATTATTTTAGGACCAACTTCTCTCAAAGAATCTGGAGCTCACCCATTCAACTAGACTGGTTCAAGCCCCAAGGATCTTCCTGTCTCCACCTCCCTAGAGCTGTGATTACAGACACAAGCCACCATGCGATGCACAGGGACACCCAGAAAGTGCCTATGTGAGGCATCCCCCAGAACACAGGCTGGTGACTCTGCAGTATATAGTACATTGCGCTCACTTCATTATGTTGATGAGCCAGGTTCTGCAGTCGCCCTGGGTACGCCGGGACAGGAGAGAGTGTGGTTTGCCCTCCTAGAGTGTAAAGCTAGCAGGGAAGGCAGCCTTTCAAACACTACGAAGAGGGACACAGATCACACATTGTGGACAGGACTATGAGGGCAAAACTCGTCACAGTGAGATAGATACATGTGTAGGGAGACCTGAGGAGTTGTCTCCACAGCAGGTAGGAAATCTAGGCCTCTCGGTACCTTAGACAAGTCGCAAAAGTCGGTGTTGGCATCAACGGAAGGTGATCAAGGACCAGGAACTGGCAGAGAGACTGGGTTTGTCCTTTCTGCATTCCCCAGGTATTCCCAATGACACGGAGAAGGGAGAGGTTCCCTAGACCAGAGCATGAGAGACGCATCCCTTTCCCAATTCAGAAAAAGACAGAGGTTAATTCTACTCCAGAGGGTTGGGTTGTTGCAAATCTAGAACTCAGTGCCATGAATGATAGACGGCTGAAACCAGAATGAAGACCGGAAAACACGATGCAATCAAAACTGTCCACACAAGATGCAGTCTGAATTGTAACATTGTCTCCACATTGGAAAGCCTCTATTCTGTGCGCAGTGAAGACCCTTCTCAGCTATCCGGCTCCAGGTCTGGCTCAGTTCCCACTGTCATCACTTATTTAACAAATATTTAACCGGCACCTGGCTTCTGCAGTACTGCTCTCCCCGCACATGTCTGGCTCAAAGCCAGGGCTGTGTAAACATTTGGCCCTTTCTGCAGAGCTGAGACCAAGGGTATAGGTAAAAGTCAGCCACAATGCCCCCCTGCCTGCTGTGTGCTGCCTCCTCGAGACCTAGCTGTTGGAAACTTGCTATTGAAGCAACTCAGAGGAAGCCCAGGCAGTCACTTGGAACCCAGTGTAAGTCCTGACCAAGTTCCTTCTACCTTAGGTGGATCTTTGTTTTTGGGATTCTGACCAGGTGTGTGCCTGCGTCTGTCCATGTGTGCATGCTTGTGTGTGCGTGCTTGTGTGTGTGTGCATGTGTGTGTGCGTGTGTGTGTGCGTGTGTGCGTGTATATGTGTGCTTGTGTGTGTGTATGTGTGTGTGCGTGTGTGTATGTGTGTGTGCGTGTGTGTATTGTGTGTGCGTGTGTGTGTATGTGTGTGCGTGTGCGTGCGTGTGTGTGTGTATGTGCGTGCGTGTGTGTGTATGTGTGTGCGTGCGTGTGTGTGTATGTGCGTGCGTGTGTGTGTGTGCGCGCGCGCGCACGCTGTCTCTACACAGCTGGGCTCTCTGCAGCAATCCCCATTCTAGACCCACCAACACCGACCTCCCTCTCCTGTGCAGCCCTGCTTCTTCTCCACCTCAGTTTAGAAGCTACATTTTAGAGAAGCCCCCCCCCCCAGTCTGCCTGGGGATCTGGCTTCTGTGTTTACTGTTACAGGTTCACCCCGACTCCCCATTTCTGTTCATCTTAGCACTCAGTGTGATGTCTAGGTTGGATCCATGAGGGATCTGCATCCCACCTGCTTCTTTGCAGGGGAATTTGTATCCCTGAAATCATGTGTAGTGTCTGAGCGTGGCACATGGGAGGTAGGTGTTCAGTACACAAATATTAGGAGACTATCTACATAGTCATTTATTCAAATATTAATCTTTCCTCTCTCCAGAGGCCTGTGTCTCTCTTACACACACACACACACACACACACACACACACACACACGTCCTTTTGACACACTCTTTCCTCTGCTGACTCACCTTCTCCTGTTTATCTTGTCTGTTGCAGTGTCGGTCTGGGATACACAGACCCGCTTGCAGTTAGCTAAAGGCTTTCTGACCTTGGTCCTGGAGAGGCCTGGGGCTGGCTCCTCCACCATACTTGTGTACCCATCACAGGCTCTGACCCACTTCTTTATATCTGGGTGCAGCCATACACTCCATGAAAGGGATTCCACGTGTCGATTTCCTGGACCCTCGCAACAGCACTCAGCAGGAGGTAAAGAATTCATTTTACAGATGGAAAAAAGAAAAACGACAGCCACAGAGACACAGAGAGGCCGTGGCTTTCCCAGGTGGCAACGCCAGAGACCCAGGCTTCTTCTATCTGGGCTGGAGTTGTTTCTGGGGCACTTCAGGGAGTGGAGGTGGGGTAGGATGCTATCTCACCTGTCGGTTCCTCGGTCCCAGAGGTCCTAGAACACCCCTACTTGTCCTAGGACAAAGGGAGAACTTCGTTAAGTCTCTTCCCTCTGCTTTCTCCTCCTGGAAGGGAAGCCACCGAGCATCGCTGCAGCCCTGCTCTGCTTGTGTCCCGTTCTCTGCCCAAGGTCTCCTAACCCCCAACACTAGATGCTCGGTCCCCTGGGATATCCTGGAAGGACAATGCCCTAGTTCAGGAAGGGGCCGTGGAAAGGATGGGAGTCATTAAAGAGCCAGCGGAGATGGCCAGAAGCTCTTGTTGTCCTCGCCACAACAGCCACACAATTGACACCAGCCAGCCCTGTGCAGCTGAGAACCTGGGCTACCCACAGCTTTTGCCTCCTCGAATTCCAGGGTTTGTGGGCTTTCTTCCCTGAATATGGAGCCTGCAGCTTCCAGTGTCCCTCCCGCCCCACCAAAAGACTTATTTTTCCAGTGAGAGAAGCATGAATATTTAAAGACATTTTTTCAGCCAGTGGAACCACACCACACTGCTGTTCTCGCTTTAGATGTATGCCCAGAAAGTTTGCCTGAGTTCCCTTCCATGTCCCACCCTCCTGAGCACAGACTATCAAATGGAGTCCCTGAGAAATTAGCCTCCCTTCTGTCAGGAGGGTTACCAGTGCGGATAGCTGCGTTTGGGGACTGAAGAGGTGTATGTGGTCCCAATTCTTCTCCACGACAACACAGAGAATTAATCAGCACACCTCCTGACACTTTGGTACTTGGAGAAGCAAGGAAATCAGACATGGGGAGGAACGCTCATCAGAGACAGTGGATTAGCAGATGAGTCCAGGAGCACAGGCTCCCCCAATCCCAACAGAGCAACCTCGGCACTGACTGCCGGGCTGATCAGGATTCTGAGTTTGTCAGTGCAGAATTACTCCAGCCAGAGGGCCACCTCCTGCTGTCCCCCTACAGCATCTCTGCTGTGCAGAATTACTCGCAGGCCACTGCATCAAACCTCTCTCTTATCAACAAAACACAACACTCCCAGGATAAGTTTTTAAAACTCCAGTCACGCCAAGCCGCTTCCCAGACTGTGGGAAGGGTTCCGTTTCTCTGCCCATCTATAACCAATCAGCCACACATCGCCAACTCCATTTCTGAAGTTCCAGGCAATTACAGCCTCCTGAGCTCCCTGGCGGGGCGCCTACCTGCCCAGGGCCAGATCAGACTGCCAGCAGCCTCGAATACCAGGCGCTTATTCAGCCTCCTCAGAGACTCAAGACTCCTGCACACCAGGAGTGGCACCCTCAGCCCACTGAGGCAAAGTGGCCAGTCACGTCACATCAAGGCAGGACACAATGGTGGAAGTCAGTCTCCCTACCTTTGCTGAGGGTCCCGGTGATGAGTTTAAAGATGGTTTGGGCAAATTTCACGAACCCGAGTCTACATCTTTTGGAGCAGCCACTCATGATGGCAAAGGTGAGGCAGGCTCTTCAGACAGCACCCAGAAGGAATGGCACCCACCTTGTGTGCCTCTGGACCTTGGAGCCTGTCTAGGCGAACCCTGAGAGATGGATGCACCCCAGAAATCAGTCTCCGGGAACAGCACAGCTGCCTCTGCAGCGAGTCCAGTTCTTGCATTCAGAGAGCCTGCAGGGCAAGCCCTCCCTCTCTCTCCACCCCCTCCTTCTGTCCACTCAAGTCCTCACCACAGGAGCACCTCGGGATGCCAGGGCTGGGGCGGCACTGCCAGGGTACCTAGGACTCGGAGACGACGGAGATGCGAGTAAAATTGAGCAGAGCAGGGAGGGAGGAGCTGGAGCCCTCCCAGGCTTTGCTGACTGTCTTGCCTACATGGCAGCGGTAATGTAGCAATTAATACTCTAGTCAGAAGGGAGGGACCGCTACTCAGAAAATACGGCCCCACAGCTCCTGCGCTCCGCAGGCTCACACGCTAGCTCGCTCACTCTTCCACTCTGTCCTTCCCAGTTAAGCTAATAGATCAATTCTTGGAGCCTAGATCGGGGATCTAGGAGAATGCCCCACAGAGCAGGAAGCTGCAGCTGCCCCAGGCGCTCAGTGGAAAGTTTGCAGGCAGCTTGGGAACAGTCTGATTTGTATCGCAGGGAGGCCAGGCTAAGTGGAGAGCCAGAGCAGCACCGCCCCCGCGCCCCGCAGCTGATTGCTACACCTTGGATGGAAAGACCATCGACAGCAGTCTTTGCTGTCAGTCAGGGAAGAGTGAGCTTCCCTGACTCAGAATGGTCTGTGGTTCCATTTCCGGGCTTCAGGGGCCCCATCTCAAAAAGATCGGCTGGATCTTAGCCTCTGCTGCTGCGGAGCCTGCGTGAGTACCTGCTGCCTTACAGGGATGGGAGAGTGGCACAACTCACCTCAGAAAAAACACAAAGGGGCGTCAGAGGTTTAAGTAAGGTGATGACAATGCAATATTACGAACAGAAACTGCAGGCTTTTTGTAAAATTGAACCATTGCTTAATAAACACTTGGGAGATGTTTTGTATAAGAAGACTGTGTGAGATAGAAGGGGCCTCAGGGGACATCTCCTGCCTCCACAGTGGCTCCCGTTCACTTTGTTGGTGACTCAGAAGGTCACTGTGGTAGACCACGGCCACGAGCATCATCTATAGATGCTTTGCACCGATGTGTGCACAGCAGTTATGAAGTCCACCTCCTCTGAATCAGGTCATTCCCTGGGAAAACCTCCTCCTCTGTACTGGCTCCTCCCTGTGTGACCTTCCCCGGCAGGGTGATTCAGAGCAATAGGCTGGATAAGCGCTTATGAATGGGCACCCAAATGCCAGAGAAACCGGAACCTAGAATGCATGCTCTGGGTCACTGTCCTCCTCTCTCTCTCTCTCTCTCTCTCTCTCTCTCTCTCTCTCTCTCCTGGGAGTAACAGGGAAGTAAATCTTAAAGAAACAGACCTCAACCCCTAGGGTGATCACCAACAAAGTTCAGCCCCAAGAAGAGGCCCGGGAGACAGTCTGCAAACTTTTCTCTAAGCCCTCAGTATCTCCGGCTTTGCTAGCACGCTAAGTCACAATTTTCACGCCGGTGCTGGCAGCTTAATTATCTACCCTTTACCTTTCGGTATTAAACGCCCTTGTTACAGCACATGCAGTATCTGGGAATGTAAATGGTACTCAATCTTTTGCTCACTTATTCACTTGTCCAATATTTACTGAGCTCCCGGCAGGCAGGAAAGAGCTGGTGGGAGTCTCCATTCAGAAGCTGAAGCCAGTATCTGATGTCAGCCGCGAAAACACTCCTGAAGAAGAAGGTTTGAGGGCGCACGTGCCGTTAAGCATCCCTTTCCTTCTACTTTTATTTCTATCTGGGGGCACCCAGTCTATACAGTGTCATCTATGTGCACAGTAAGTCTTTCCCTTCACTTGGCCTATCCACATTCCAGTCATTTCTGGAAGCACCCTATATACACTCCGATGTGTGCTTTTCCAGGTCTCCATATGTCTCTCGATACAGACAGGCCAGCAACTGAGATTCACTCCCATGCTTAGTCCTTACTGCTTGGGCTCTGAGGTTTAAATAAAATAAGCAAACTCGTTGGAGTGTCTGGTACTTCACATGGTGAAGGTTGCTGGGCCAATTGCAGGGCCGTTTCCGTTGCTTTCATTGGCTAGCCTGTTTCTGCTCCTGCTACTGCTCCCACTCCTGTCCCCAGAACATCTCCATAGTGTCTACACCACTGGACAAGAATGCTGCTCACAGCAAGCACCCTGTGGGAATGCTGTGGGAAGCAGGTATTAGATGAAATCGCTGTCCACATACAAACCCACTACAAGAATCACTGTTTATTTTAAGTAAGTGTAAGAGAATTACAGAAGAGAGAAAGAAACCTGAAGACAGTGAGGGCTTGCTGGGTGGGAAGAGTTAAGAGACTCAGAGGCAAAGCCATCGTGGGGAGAAGAGGAAAAAAATAGATACAGGGTGTACAGGCAGAGCCTAAGAATTTCTGGGCATCACCAAGCTCAGGATTTTATCTCTCCTAACAGCAGCTCAAACTCCAGCATTTGGATGCTTCTCTGTTCTCTGCAACGCATCACGCATTTGAACTCTGTCTTAGATAAATGACTCAGGCCCAGAAAAGGTCAGCAATGTCCGAAGTCCCACACAACGGTGTCCCACAAGCAAACTGTGTGCTCACTGTGCCAAGAACATCAGTAGAGAAGGAAGTATTAAGTTCATGGTAGGAGAATACAGGACAAAAATCGTGCTTAAGGACTATGTTATTCTGCAAGAAATGGGAGACAAAGAGGGCAAGAATACTTGTTGGGCAAAGTAGAGGATCTGAGCTTGAATTCCAGCACACAAATAAAATGCCGGGCATGGTCCCATGTGCACCTGTGACCCTACCACTGGTAAACGGAGACTGGAGGACCACTGGGGTTTGCTGGCTACTGCCTAGTTCCGGGGCCACTGAGAGATCCCATCTCAGGGGGATAAGGCAGAGAGTGAGAAAAACAGGACATAACCTCCTCCACTGGATCTCCTCTGCATGTGAGCACCCACCACCACTGCAAAAAGAAAGAAAAAAGAAAGGAAGGAAGGAGGAAAGGAAGAAAGAAAGAAAGAAAGAAAGAAAGAAAGAAAGAAATTGAGAGAGGAAAGAAGGAAGGAAGAAAGAAAGAAAGAAACAAAGAAAGAAACAAAGAAAGAAAGAAATTGAGAGAGAAAGGAAGGAAGAAAGGAAGGGAAGAAAGAAAAACAGAAGCAGGAGCCGAGCACTCAGGTAGCATAAGGGAAACCAGCTCACCAGCCAGCTTGTAATTAGCCTCTGCACAGCAGGTGTGTGTGCATTAACAGGGGCACACAGGAAGTCAGACTTACCCTCCACCTGACTCCACCCATGGGAATCTTCACACACTGGCTCCAGGAGGAAGTGGGACAGGCAGATGGGTTCTCTAGGCAGTCTCTGGTTCTGAGTGCAAAGATAAGAGGGTGGAAGTGCCTTCCATATGAAAAGAGCATCAAGGCTGTCCTCCAGAGGGTTTTAATGGTACCCCCATGCGCTGAAGTCCTTCTCGGAGCAAATGCCCTGAGTATTCATTTCCCATAGCTCAAATCCTTATCAGAACTATTTGAGACAACATTATTATCGCTTGTTCTATAGTCCAGAGATGGAATAGAGATGAAATGTGAAGAGGGTCAGGGAAGGAGAGAGAGTGTATGTGTGTCTTCTCACTGAGTATTTGGGTATTCCTGGCTGGCCTAGAATTCTTATATAGACCAGGCTGGCCTTGAACTCATAGAGCTCCACCTGCCTTGTCTCCCAGTCTCCTGGGTGCTGGGATTAAAGACATGCACCTTTATTTCATGTCTTACTAGGGTTCCAAATTTAAGTAAACAGCATCTTTAGTGAGTTATGTTTGCCTTGCTAGCAGAAGAAGCGAGCCTTTGCCCATCATAGTTGTTAACTCGAGAAGAAAGCATGTTCCCTGAAAAAACACTCTCCCCATGGTCACAATTGCAGGGTGGGGAGAGGAGGCCAGGGTGGTGGTGCTGCTGCCATCCAGTCAGGAAGCTAAGCACACAGGGTCTGCCCAACAGAGCATCTTATGTAGGGACTTGGGAACTGGGGTTGAGGAACTCAGCAAACTGTTGGGAACATGGAGGAGTCACAAGGGTGACAAGACCTCTAGAGATGGACCAGGAGATAGGACCTAAAGGAAAGAGAATGAGATCCCCTGGATCTCGAAGGTTGGCAGAAGGACCCTAGAAAGCGAGACACGGTCCTCCTAGAGGGTGCGGCTGTAGGGTTTTGAGGTCTCTATTCAAGAATGATGAGGATGGCGCTATTTCTTTTCGAAGTTCATAATCACAATGATGATTCAACTCCTAGAAGCAGGAATCTCTGCTCCTGCTGAGGGGATGTTGGCAGGAGAGGACAGCCTGCAAGAAGCATGTTCCTCCCTCCAGCCAGTACTTCTCAGACTCTGTTGGCAGCTGGCATGGGGCCGGCCGCTGGCAGAGCAGATATGTGGGTCTCTGTTAGGTTCTCAGTTACAGCTTGCACCTCCCAGGACCGGAAGGGAAGGAGGAATCCATGACTTGGTCAAACCCTTAACAACCAGCATGGTCTAGATACCTTCTTTTCTAATACCCCACAATCCCTTTACCCTCATTTGATCACTCAACAAACATCTATTTATTTAACACCTTCTATAAGTCAGGGAGTAAGGATTCTCAAGAGAGGACCACAGAACCCCTTCCTATATGGATCTTGTGTTGTAGAGTTTGAAGGCGGTGGGAGTGTTAGGACCACAAACCAATGAAAAAGTGGGTAATTCCAGAGTGAAAATATTCTGTGTTCTGGAGTCAACAGGACAGGAACCTCCCAGGACTTACTGGCCAGCTCCTAAGAGAAGAACTGAGAGGAAGGAAAGGGTGAATTCTGTGGTAGTCATGATCATCATACAAACATCAGCAGGATTTTTCCCCCTCTGGTCCAATGTGGCCCTAAGTGTTGGATTTGGGGTATCTTATCCTAATCATATTATAAACCCATGAAGCATTTGGATACCATTGTTTATTATACCCGTTTATAGATAGAGAAACAAGTGAAGGCTTACGTGGGGCTCAGCGATTACTTCATGGAGGACCAAAAAAGATGGAATCAATGTGGCTAGAGACTGATGGGGAAGCTAGGGGGAGGAGCAAGCCTCTGGGAGCTCTAGAAGCAAAAATGGCAGAAGTGTTTGGAGGATGCGATGTGGAGAGAGAGTGGGCTGTAGGTTCTAAATGTCTTAGGGGACAGCACCATCCCTGGTGGGTGGGAATGGGAGTAGGAGCTCAGGAGAGGAAGTGAGGACCAGAATTCTCATAAATAAATTCTCATAGCTGCTGAGGAAGAAAATAAATGTAGCATCCCAGTAGGCTCCAAATATTAGCATTTAAAATATGGGCTTACATAGGTGAATTTAAAAAAAAAAGCAGCAACAATTTCCCGAGATTTAAATCTGATTTTATTTTTTCCTCCAAGCTTCAGAAAAATCAGTTCTGCTTGAGTGTGGGCCTCTGAGAGGGATTTTGCTGGCTCCAGGGTGGACCAACTCCACGTTCTCGATGGGAGTTTGCAGTTTCTCCGTGTTATAATTGTAAGCAAATGATGCCTGAGAAGCCAAGGGCAATTCATCAGCACTGTTTGCAGAGTTTTTAAGGGCTCATTGCATTGAGAGCAAGACACCTCATCTTGGGATCTAAATGCTCTCTGCTCTTGGCCGTCAGCAAGTCTGTACCCCCACTCAGCCCCTGAATGACGGATGCTACTGCAGGAGCTGCCAGGCAGAGATGAAAAGAGACGAATGGCCCCTGAAGCTTCTCTTTCTCTTCCTATTGCCCCTAGATGCTGAAGTCTCTAAGCCCCAAATTGCTATCAATGGCATGTCCTGTCCAATCCCATATTTTTCCATCCACATTTGAATGCTGTGGCGGTTCATTGTGCATCCATAGATGGGGAAACCCTGATTTAAACAGGGTGCCAAAGACTACAAATTTGGGTGATGGCTGATTCTGACTGTAACCCATACCCAGCCTACTAGGGCAGACTAATTTTTCCTGTTCTCTATAGCCACTGGACACACAGCAAGCCACACATATACAAGGCCTAAATTCCTTGAATAAAGTTTGATTCTGGATGCAACTTCATATTTTCCTATTAAACCAATGTGTCCTGTGTCCCAGGCACTTGGAAGCCAGCTCTTCCTGAATGACCCTGTTGTTTAATCCCGTATTCTTGTATCTTGTTCAATATCCGCAGCGGTCTGCCAGTGCATCTAGAACACAATACCAGTAGCCTCTCCCCTCCTCCTTTTCCTGTCTAACTCAGCCAGCCCACACCAGTTCCTGACACACCTACCTCCTTAGGAGCCCATGGACCTGCTCATGTCTCACTAGCTCCATGCATGTGCACAAACATGTCCAAGGAAATCCCACATTCCACTCACTGGATTGAACCCCCAAAAGATGGTATGCATGTCTTAGAGCCTGTGAAAGTGGAGACTTGCTGGAAAGGGGTCTTTGCACGTGAACCTCAGTGAAGCAATTTGGGAAGAGATCATGTTTGAGTAACTCCTAAATACAGGTAACTCCTAAATCCAGTGGCAAGTGTTTTCATGATTGACAGGAGAAGGTGGAAAGAGGAGGTGGTGGAGCATTGGGCGGAGATGGAAGTGATGCAGCCTGAGTCCGTGAACTCCAAGGCCTTCAGCAGGAGAGATTGTCTTGCATCCTGTGGAGATAAGGACACTTGATTTGGACATCTGTCCTGTCCTTCAGTATTGAGGGAGGGAGGGAGGGAAGGAGGAAAGGAGGGAGAGAGAGAGAGAAAGAGAGAGAGAGAGAGAAAGAGAGAGAGAGAGGAGAGAGAGGAGAGGAGAGGAGAGGGGAGAGGAGAGAGATAGAGAGAGGAGGAGGAGGAGGAAAGAGAGAGAGAGAGGGAGAGAGAGAGCACTTTGTCATTTGAAGTCACTCAATTTGGAAGGATTCATTACAGCCACCACAAGAAATGAATGCAGCCCATCTAAAGCAAAATTTACTGTAAAAATTAAGGCCACTCATGGTGGCCTGCTCTAGCAGACGTCCCAGTCACCCGGGATGAGCAGTCTCCTGGGTGTGCTCAGAGTGTCCGACACGGGCTCTGAAACCTGAACTTTAATAACCACTTCGGTCATTCTAGGGTGTGGGCTTATAGCCTCTGTGGCCTGGATCCCCTGTGCTTGGCACAAGCTTAGGATAGAAGAGATGCCGAGCTGGAATCTGGATGGATGGATGGCGCTTGTAATCACACAACTCATTTAGCCGCCACACTCACGCACCCTGCTCCCTTCCTGAAATGATGCCTTCCATGGTCCCCTGACCAGCAGGATCAGTCAACCCATGGAACCATGGAATAATGGAGTGCTGTCTGGCCCTCATCCGTGCCTAATGCTGTGGTCTGGTGTGGTTTGTTCCCTAACAGCGCATGCTGGAACTGAGTCCCCACTGTGAACTGAAGCAAGGAATCAATCTATATTTGGTGTTTAAAACTGTGATTTGAGAAGGAAACCAGAGGGGAGCCCCCACTATTGATTCTCGGTGGCTTTGTAAAGGAAGAGAGAAGCCCTACAGAACACATACACACTCTCCCATCTCTTTCCATATGATACTCTGCTTCACAGAGATGTTACCAACAAAGTGGCCATCATCATATGTGGCCCCTTAATAGACACTCCAGAACCACTAGTCAAAATAAGTCTCTCTTCTCTTCATAGCTTTACCCAGTCTGTGAGATTACGATATTGTGGCTTTATACTCTGTAAAGTCTCACTGAAGCCACACTGGTCCCATTTTACAGAAGAGGAAATCAAGTCCCGACAGTTGACATGACATGTAATACCACAGGGCTGGACCACAGCCACCGGCCTTCCTGCCTCCTTCTCCAGAGGCTTGCTCACACCCATTCACTAATTAAAGGTCTGATTTAAGCATCAATTTTCAGATGGTGCCTTTGGATTTGGGGTAGTAATGTCCAAAGAAAACGGTCTTCTCCCCCTGATGAACATGACCTCTCATTTTTTTTAGCCCTTTCTTTAATAGATCCAACACATCTGGAGAAGCACACAGTGAAGGATGGGTATAGGGTTTAGAGAAACCAGTAAGAGAGAGTGGAGACTCCTTGTGGAGCAAAGAAGAAGCCAGGGGAACATAGACAGAGCAAAGTCCCTGCCAGCCAACCACTGACAGGACAGGCAGCGACGGCTTCCAGCCTCTGGCAGAGCTTTGCAGCATGGATCTAGACAGTAGATTCTAGAAAGTCACCATCAGTAACACAGCTGATAATGGTCTTGCAGGAAGATCCTCTGCCTTACAATGCCTTTCCCCTACCGAATGGGGTGATATTACATCTTTGCATATCTGTTCTTTGCATATCATTTCTGTCCTCTCCATCACAATACATAGACATCCCTAAGATGCTACATTTGACTCTTGTTTCCAGTAACTCCCTAACCCCAGATTCTTCCATAATGACCAGGCATGAGAATACATCCTACTTAAGGGTATAGAGATTCATATAGTGAGTGGGAAGAAGGCAAGCTTGGTACAACATGCAGCAGGGACTCCACATACCGGGAGTGTGGGGGCTCCGCTTTGAAATCTGAGGGTCCAAGTCATAGGGGAACCTCTGTGCTCCCGTCCCATGGAAGCCATTCCCTCATATCACAGGACTTTTATCCCCTTCTTCTCAGGTGTTCTCAGGCCTATCTTGACCTTCCTCTACCTCCATTTCTGTAAGTCACTCTACAGCCTCCTGCTCCTAGGCAATGCTCCCTGAAGGATCAGTCCTCCTAATAGATCTGCCAGGGTTAGGGAGGAATTTCTCTCCGGGGCTCCTGCCAGCAGGAAGTTCTCTCTGGGAGCACATTGATGGGCTTTTTCAGCTGGAGATGAGTGTCCCACTTTGGGACACTGGTGGGAACTACAATCCATGGATGCTCAAATCCTTCTATAAAATGGCATGGTGTCCACATATAACCACTCTAAGTTGTCTCTAATCCCATGATAGCTACCGCCATGCAAATGTATTGGTTAGAGAACAATGTTAAGAAAAACATCTATATACTTTCAGTAGAAATGCATTTAAAATTTTTATTTTTTCCCCTATTTATTTGAGTGGTGAACACATGTTCAGGTCAGAGAATGAGGAATTGGGTCTCTCCTTGCACTACGTGGGCTCTGTGGATCAAACTCAGGTTCTCAGGCTTGGTGGCAAGTGTCTTTATCCACGACCCATCTTTTCACAAGTTAATGTGTGGTTAATTGAACCCTCGATGGAGGACTTCATTTGGCACCAGTTGAGAGGGAGGGTGAGTGGATTTGGTAAAGCTGGCATAAGCTACCCCGTGTTCATAGATCTCTCTCAGTGCCCTCTGCCTGAGTTCCCGGTGTCCCCACAGCCTAGATATAAACAACTTCATAAGAATATGCTTGACGTGTTGATCATTTGTGGGGTTGGCTCAATTAGAGCAACGCCAAGCACAGATCACAAAGGTCTTGGCGCGCCTGAGAACTGAATCAACTTACTACTGTGTTGTGGTTTACATGTGTCTCCCCAAAGAACCTCAAACCCCAAATTGACTGCTAATAATATTTGGTGGTGGGGCCACTGGGAGGTAATTAGATTTGGTTGAGGTCAAGAGGGGATTCTGTGAGGACAAGTGGTTTATTTTTTTTATTTTTTATTGATTTTTATTGAGCTCTACATTTTTCTCTGCTTCCCTCCCTGCCTCTCCCCTCCTCCCCTTCAACCCTCGCCCAAGGTCCCCATGCTCTCAATTTACTCAAGAGATATTGTCTTTTTCCACTTCCCATGAAGATTAGATATGTATGTCTGCCTTAGGGTCCTCATTGTTGTCTAGTTCTCTGGGATGGTGATTTGTAGTCTGGTTTTCTTTGCTTTATGCTTAAAAACCACTTATGAGTGAGTACATATGATAATTGTCTTTCTGGGTCTGGGTTACCTCACTCAAAACGATGTTTTCTGCCTCCATTCATTTGCCTGCAAATTTCAGGATGTTGTTATTTTTTCTGCTGTGTAGCACCCCATTGTGTAAATGTACCACATTTTCCTTATCCATTCTTCAGTCTAGGAGCATTTAGGTTGTTTCCAGGTTCTGGCTATGACAAATAATGCTACTATGAACATAGTTGAGCACATGTCCTTGTGGCACGATTGAGCATCCTTTGAATATATACCCAAAAGTGGTATTGCTAGGTCTTGAGTAAGGTTGTTTCCTAATTTTCTGAGAAATTGCCTCACTGATATCAAAAGGAGCTATACCAAGTGGTTTTATAAGAAAACTTACCTGACTTGGCACAGCTCTCACCATGGCATGTCCTCTTCCATGGCAGGATAACCTGAGGCCCTCACCACATGTCAGAGAGATGATGGAGCTATGTTCGTGGGTTTCCAGCCTCCAGAACCATGATCTAAATAGACTTCTGTCCTTTAAAGATGACCAGAGCTCAAACATTTTGATACAAAACCAGAAAACAGCTGAAGACCATTCATTGTCTACATTCACATAGCTCAGTTACTCTAGTTTTTTAAACTTTTAATTTCTTATTTCAAACATGCAAACAGAAGAGGCGCTATTTGGGAGAGGGAGGCAACCACCAAGAGGGAGAAGTGGGGGACAGAGAAGGACAGTAGTCAATAACAAAGTGTGGTGATAGTAAACACATATGATGTCATGACAGTGAAACCCATTACTTTATGTGCTAACAACAATAATAATAAACTAGAGGGGGCATGACCAACTCTTCTGGTTTCCTAATGGCTGGTGTGTGTGTGTGTGTGGGGTTCATCCAAGGACAAGGGACTTCCAGGGCTGAAATGAGAACCATCCCGAGTCACAGTGTGGCAGTACATAGATGGTGCCCTGAACAGAGAACCTTTAAGCAACTGCCTCATTTCTCTCTGCGTGCAGATGTTTTGGCCATTTGAGCTTTATATGTTGCTGCATACCCCGTCACAAATGGCCCTAGATCTTCTGGGATGCCAGGGATGTCTAAGGAGCAAGGACGGCAGGTGCCCAGCTCTTTTAGCTTTTGTAGGTACGCAGAGGGATGTTCGTGCTGGCTGACTTGTTCACCTCCAGGTCAGACTGACTGTTTTTCTCCACTCCCAAGGCCACTTGCCAGGAAAGGTTGGGGGCGGGGTGGGGGATGGGGCAATGGTTATGTGAACAAGGTCCAGGCACAGACAGCTCAAAGACTTCATCAGAACATTGCTGTGGAAACCCAACAAAGGGGGTTTGCTTATTCATCGGGTGACTAAGAGTCCTTTAGATATTCATCTCATTCTGAAAATTACATCAGGAGTTGGAGGACCTCAGAGTCCTGGGCAACTGGTGGGCAGCTAGAGACAGTATGAGTTTACATGGGTCCCATGGAGTAGGATGCTAGGCAGGCCCTGCCAATTTCCCAGACTCTGGTCGATTGCCCACTACAGGTTTGAGAAACCAGCCCCTTGTCATGGTGCCCAGTGCCTCAGATGGTGAAACTGACTAAACGATCAGTGCAATTCAAGCCCAGTGCCAAACTGATGTGTGTCAGGAAGGGCCAGATTCGGAGGTGGGAGGGGCGTGAAGGTTTCTTGCTCATAGTGACTTCATGTCAGTGTTCTCCACCCAGCCTGTGGCCTCATTGATTGCAAGGGACGCTACCTGAGTGATTGCAGACACACGATCTTCCCTGCAGACTACAGATAGCTCCTGCTTCTGTATTAACCAAGGCAGAACTGGTCCTCCCGGCAAGTCTTGTTTCCTCTTCACGGATAGGCTTGTCTACCAGGTGAGAAATAAATCCAGAACACAGGGATTTGATTTCTAAAGGTAAATTGTTACACATGCATTAACAGGCAGTCCCCAAGGATGGCAGGCAACTCACTTTCTTGACCTTCTATCCCTGTGAGTTCAGACAGCTCTCATAAGTCTCAGCTTCCCCATCTGTAAAATGAAGGTGGTAATAGCTACTAATATATATATATATATAAAATATATATATTAATAATATCTTGACTTCAAAATTTGAGTCGAAGGATATGCTGCTTTGGAAAAGAGATTCGGCTTTTGTTTCCACAGAGGACAGAAAACTGTGGAATCCTTACCAGCTATTACGGTTTGATCATACAAGATCCTCCGAAACAATGGCCTAGATGGTCCAACATCTATGACAGCTTCAAGACTGCTGGCTGAGATGGACCTACCACATAGGATACCCCATGAAAGACCTGATCAACAGCACCCCCAATCGGCAGGAAGTAGTCTAGAGAACAATGCCCAAATTTCCTAAATGATTGTTTACATTTAAAGGGGGATATGCTATAAAGATGAATACTTATGAATCTTGGCTTATTGATAAAAATTTAAGGTAAATTTTACTATATGTATATTTCTGCTCTTAAGGTTTTGTGTTTGTGCAGCTCACTTAAAAATGTAATATATAATTGAGAGACACAGTTTAGTAGATTGTCATCTATTATAATCAAGCTTGTAGTCATGTTAGATTTTCTAGATGTACAGAGATATATTTTGGATGGATAAGTATTCTTCAAACATTTCAAAGACTAACAGAATATGACATTTAAAATGTTTTAAGAACTTAGAATTTTTCATGACAATGAGACTCATCTGCTCCTGGCAGCACCAATAACTTCAAGAGGATAATGGGCATTGAAGAGGCTCCTTATGGAGTTTGTTGGCCATTTGGGCAAGAAACTGCTCTTGCCTAGACTGCTTGATGGTATGCTGTATGAAATGGACATGCAGGACCCACAGAAAAATGACTGCTGAATTTACCTAAAGAAGGTGAAACAGTCCTTCAGGGTTCCTGCTTCATGAAGGAGTCTGCCAGACATTCTGCCAGATACAGAAGAAAGTAACTGATAAACTACCAATAGAGGTAAAACAGTCTTTCAAATTTCCTGCTTCATGGTAAAATCTGTCAGATATTATGGACCTGTAAGCTGAAGATGGATGGCCCAATGTTACAGAAGAACTTTGGGTGACTGTCCAGGCACCAGGTTATCTCTGTCATTTTTGCACTTCCTGTTTACTCAAATAACATTATTTCTCTCTCAGGTCTTGATGGGGTTGAAGACTAGATAGTCATAGTTACTTTCCTTTCATGACTTAGCCAAACTAATTCTAATATAAGACTTAGACTCCTTATAATAGGATAACTATTATTAAAACATTTAGCATATGTCTCTTGCTTGATATTGTTTATGCTGGTTATAATTCTAATTTTTATACTTGATAATTGGTCTTATTGTATATAGTTTTGTATTGGGTTTGGAACTCTCATTTTTAGACAAAAGGGGGAGGTGTTGTGGAAATTCCTTCAGCCAATAGCCTTTAAGATACCAGCCCACTTTGGGTGTGGTCTCATATACTATAAATGCAAGTGCAGACCTTTTGGCTGATGGATTTGGTTCCAGTTCCCAGAGTACGCAGAGGACTGCAGATCACTACCCTTTCTGTGAGCTTACCCCTAATAAATAAACCTTTATTATACTCCATTCTGGGCTAGTGTGTGGTTATTTTATTATAAATTGCAATACTTACACATAAACTATCTCAGGACAGGAGCCCAAGAGCTGGGTGTCCTTGGACTTAGAGCTCCAGAATAGGCAAAGGGGCTGTACACAATTGCATCTGGAGGGTTCTCCAGGCTTCTCTTGCCTCTGACTTCAGCATGGATAGAGAGAGAAGTGAGATAGGACTTCAGATGACACACCTTCCCTGAGACCTGTCTTGAGTTTGATTCCATATTCTTCATCTAGGGAACTAATGCCTTTTAGAAATCATTATGATTCAGAAATAGCAGAGGTCATGGAGCTCCTCTCCCAGTATGTGTACAACACAGGCTGCTGCAGGGCTACCTGGTTTTGTTAGCCGTCCATTTTCACCCCTTATGAACAGGAGAATGAGAAATAGACTTTTGAATGATATATTTATGTTATGTGTATGAATGCTTTGCTTCATGAATGTAAGTACACTACATGCATGCGGTACTGCCTTTACGTATGTATTCACACCACATACATACAGTGTCTGCACAGGCCAGAGAGGGTGCTGGATCACCTGGGACTGGTGCTGACAGATGACCGTGAGCCACCATGTGGGTTCTGGGAACCAAGCCTGGGTCTTCTGCAAGAGTAGAATGTGCTCTTAACTGCTGAGACATCTCTGCTGCCCCTCGAAATATATTTTTTTTTAAAGGTAGAAGGGCAAGAGGAGGCTGCGCCTGAACTGCTCTTTGGGAAAAGTTGACTTGGTTGAAGTATGGGTCCTGAACATCCACTTCATAAGCAACGAGTGTCAGAAGACACAACAGAAGTGTTCTAGAATCCCGTTCTAGAATCTCGTTTAAAAAATCTTCATGTGAAAGAGCCGAAGAGAGAGGCGATAGAGGCTGCCCTTAAACCACGGGAAACAGCTGGAGGGCTTTGTAGAACAGTATATCTAATACTGGACTTTAAATTGTCTGCGTGACTCCCTTTCCCTTAGACCTCCCATGAAGCAGGCCACACATGATGGACGTGCCAGGTTTTTCATATTTAAGGTGGAAACTAAGGAATGTCATGACGGAGAACAGACTAGTACTTACAGAAAGCCAGGAAACTGCCAAGCAGTGGAAGCAGGGGCTCAGATCTCTAGGTGACTGGACAGCCCTTAATCCTACCTACCAATGTACCATGTCCCTGGAGCACTCATACCCTAATACACACAAATACATGCACCCAGACACACACGCACACACGTGCACACAGAGAAACACAGCAGCAGAATGATTGGGAGAGAAGGCACCCATACATGGTGGGGTCCCATTCTCTCAAAATTAATTTGGATCTAAGGAACACAACATCTTAGCTGATTTCTGAGCTATGAAACTAATAAAAACACTAACGTCAGCTTGTACATCTTGTACATTGTCCTTTCCCAAAGGACTTCCCTATCTTTGTCTGTTTAACCACAGAATTCTGAGTCTCAACTTACAGACAAAGGAGAGCACAGACTTAGGAGGTCACAAGACAGCCTCAAAGTGACACCTTCCGGGGTCTGTGCCCACGACCGTTGGATGTCTGTTGACTCAGCAGAGAGGCGTCTGTTGGTAAGAGTTTCCAAAAAAAGTGGTTCCAAAAATACAATAAGATTCGCCTTCTAGAAGGTGAAACTGAGCCTGGAGATGGGGTTGACGACCCAATTCTGTCTTGACTCTGGACAGGGTGAGGGGTGAGTAGAGCAAAGGTCAGCCTATCAGACCAGCAAATGGAGTGATGTGTGTTTGACCTGCCAGAGGAAGGTTGGTGAGGAGATTGAGTCTTCTGAGGTAGTCTAAGAGGAACTACATACAGCCAGATGCCAGATGTATACAGATGGAGTTTAAAGTCACAGTCCTCAGAAGACTGAGTATTCTAAGATAGGTTGGCTTCTGCCCTTGGAGACCACAGAGTAGCCATTTTGTAAATTGCAATCACCTCTCTGGACTACAGAGGTGGCCGTGTGGGCGTTTGCTGAAATGCCACACTTCGTCACTAGAGGGAGCCCGTGTTCCCACCCCTTTCTGCTCCAGAGATGTGGGCTTGAGAGAGAAGTTGACTTTCTTTCCAGCCTCTCAACAGGATGTAGGGCATCAAGCAGCAGATGCTGTAGTAGACGCGTCTGTAAAGTGGTTGTCATTTCTACCTTAGGTTGTGAGACCCTGCAATACCAAGTCAGAGCAATAATCCCACGAGGAACTTACCACCTCATTCCTGGATTCAGTCTCTTCTCACCACCAAAGGCAGGGTCTGGGGACCCCATTAACAGGGGACATAGAGAGAAGAAGCAGAAGAAATCACGCCACTGGGCCAGGTCCCTTTGGAAAATTTCTGCCTCTCTGGAAAGGGGAGGGGAAGGCTATAGAAAAACAACATTCATTGGGTCTCTCAGGTTTTCCTGGCCACTCTACCCTCTGGATTTCTTCACCCGAGCTATGTGCCCAACAATAACAATAAGCCCACCATTCATCAGAGAGACAGAATGCAGAGGGATTAGATCTATAGGCTTTGGGTGCAGACAATTTTGCTTCCAAACCTTCCCAAACTACACATACTGCCCCGGGTCCAGGAACTCTGTCTACCCTCTGTACCACAAAACCCCCAATGCCTAGAATAGAGCCTGGCACTGGAGGATATTAAATATTTTATGAAAAAGCCAAGAACTCTGATCTCCAGTGTTTTTCTTTAACCTTGGACTAGTTACATTGTGTCTGGTTCACTTGTGAAAGGGAACAAAGAACACTAGGCGACAGACTGGTGAAGGGCAAAGGGCGACAGAGCAGGGGTCCCTGCTCTGAGTCACCAGCCAGGTAGGCTTCCGTGGCAACAATCTAAGCAGCCATTCGTGTGTGTGTGTGTGTGTGTGTGTGTGTGTGTGTGTGTGTGTGTGTGTGTGTGTGTCTGAGGTATAAGGTAATCCTTTTAGGGACACAAGCCTATTGCTAGCTTATTTCACAGTTGAGGAAACTGAGGCCAGAGAGGTTGAGTGATGTGCTCAACTTTACCTTGTCAGCAAGTGGTGATGAATTAAATCAAGGTTTAAGAGCCAGGCAGGAGGATTCTATGGCTGTGCTTCTGTGCCTAGAGAAGGCTTGCATAGGGCTCTTCTGGCTATTGTAGCCAGTAAATGACAACACATGGTTTCTGGTTGTCTTGCGTAGATTTCCCGTCAGCCATTTCTGCATCTGCTGATGCCTGCCAGCCCAGGCACCTGGTCCACGAGTCAAGTGCAGGTACCAGCATCACCCCAGCCCTTGGCATGTTCAGATGCTGAGTTCCGTGGGTCTGAGACTTCGGGATCTGCATCTCTATTGAGTTATGACACATCCTAATACCTGCGTTCCTGGCGTGAAATGTGATGTTGATACACATCCAATTTATGAAATGTTCAAACCAGGGCGACTAGCAGGCCTGCCACCAGCATTCATCATTTCTTCGGGATAAGGACATCCAACAGCCTCTCTCCTAGCTGTTTTGAACTAAGGAACGCATTACTGCTAACCTTCACCATCCTGCTGGGCAGCAGAACACTAGATGCATTCCTCCTAGCTAGATCTGAGCAACTTCTGCTTCCCCTTCCCACCCCCAGCCTACAGAACCCACCATTCTGCCCTTCACCACTAGCCTGACTTTGAGGATTCCATGTATGAGAAAGCTAATCCAGGGTTTGTCCTCCTGGACCTGGCTCATTTCACTTAGCGTGCTGTCCTGTCCCCAGCTTCATCCCAGGAGTGCGTTCTTTTCTGTGGATGATAGAGACCTGCGTCTCTAAGAAGCCCTTGGATAATTCTAATTCTAATAAGGCAAGTGGTCACCCCACTTTGGAAGTTCATCTTTCTCTCTCTCTCCCTCTCAGACAGACCCCTTTCGTAGAATTATTTAGCAGTGGATTGCAGGCCCTTGTGGCTTCCAGGATCCTCTGCCTAAGACTGAATGACTCCATTCCCCCTCCCCCCGCCTTCAGGTGCCATCCCTGTGTCCTGCCCTCCAAGGACAGTGCTGAGTTGGCTCCGAGGCAGCCTCCCAACCCTGCAGAGAACATTACACCCAGAAAAGGGAAAGGGTGGGGAATGTGGGCGCTTCCCTATCTTCCCTAGGTCTCCCTTCTTCATCTCACTTTGCTTCTGCTTCGGAAAAAAGGAAAATCGCCAAGCAATTGCTCCTTGACAAGCCCTGCTTGTCCACAGCAGTTTGATTTTGCTGGGAGTATAACAAGGGATTGGTGCATTTAAGCGGGAAATCTGTCAGCGGCACAGACCCTTCATGTCTTAAAGGCACCCTGAGGATGTCACTCACATTTGATTTGGGTAAGGGCACCCAAAGTCTCATGTGTAGCCTTTGAGGTAGAGAGAGCAGCCCTGGACTGTCTATAATGGTCAGACAGGAGTGACAGTAACATGGCTACACAGTGGCTACACGCCACAACCAAGCTGTGTTCTCACCAGGCTCCTAGTCCATCCGTGCTGGCAGGAAGACACTCATTTATTCCCATTTTGCAGACAAAGACCCTCAGAATCAAGACAGAGAGTGACTTGTCCATAGACACCCAGCGGCTGAGTGACAGGGCGGGGACCTGAGGTCCCATGCAAATGAGACCTAAGTGTCTGTGGTTTAGTTTGAAATATTACTCCGTTTCCCAGGAAAGGGGTATCATGGCTTCAGACTTGTGGAGGTTCCAAGTTATGTGTGCATTCCTTGTTCCTTTATGGAGGTGTCAGGTGGGTGCCACAGGCAACCTTGGGCTTGGCTTCTCCCTTGAGATTCCAGGATCCACAAGTCAAGGTGAGGACCCTTAGAGGGGCCGGGGGGGGGGGGGGAAAGAAGCCCTGCAGCTGATTCTGGAGCCGTGACTTTGCTGTCGTTGCTGCTGGTATCTTAATTCATTTTGGTTAGCGTACAGAGAAATGGCATTGAGACATTTTATAATACAGTCATCATTATACTTTGTTCTCGTTTGGACTCCCATTGCCCTCCCTTGTCATCCCCGTTGTTGGTCTTCTCTTCCCCTCTCCCTCCAAACAGTTCTTCCTTCTGCTTTTATATCAACATTCATGGGAAAATGGATGGAGCTAGAGATTATGTGAAGTAGAGCAAGCCAGATTTAAATATGGAATAAACACGAGAGAGAGAGAGAGAGAGAGAGAGAGAGAGAGAGAGAGAGAGAGAGATTGCTTGGTTCTGGCTAACCTGGAACTCACTATATAGAACAGGCTAAAAGACACCTCAGTCAGTGACACCACCGTAGAGACTCCTGAGGGTTCCCTCTCTGCGCCTGCTCTGAGATCAGCAGCTGCCTGGGCGCCGGTTCAGCACCTAGGAGAAAGTAACACTACTGTTTATCATTGCAATTTTCCTGTTCTTGGGACCGCCTAACTAAGTCGGTCCACTGGTGTCCTAGATGTAAATAAACGCTGACGTAGCTGAGAAGGGTAGGACCAACCATGAATCAACTGAGTTTCTGTGCAGCTGAACCTCATACTGGAGAGACATGCTTGTGCTATCTCACCACCTGGAGGGAGCAAGAAGTAAATAAGGGGAGGGAACTGATGAACCGGTCTGTCTCCATCTTAGGCTTCAAAGCCATCTGAGAGCAAAGGCAAACTAGGTTTGTTCCTGTTTGAGATTAAACCTCTGTTTCTCGAGGAATGGGCTATGCCCCACCTGTAACCTAACTACAAATTGTGCTGAACTATCTGTTTCAAGAAATGCCAGCCATAGCTTTGTTTCAAAAAGTTGTTTATAACCATCTTGCAGCCCGACCTTTGTTCCAAAAGGTTGTTATCACTACCTAGCTATGACCATCTTGAAATCATGTCTTTGTTTCAGAAGGCTGTTATGACTCAGTTGGTACTTTAAGGTTCTGCTGACTTGCCCTCCAAATTCCCCATTTGGAAACCCCCTACTCCTGCATTATAAAAACACTGTCTTTCTCACATCCAAAGCTGACCTCTTAAACCCTGTCTTGCGTGTGGGGTGGGGGGCGCAGCCCGTGTACAAGAATTTAAAAGCCTGCTTTAATGAACTGTTTTAATTGATTTAGCCATGATGATTTGGGGTGGTGGTCTTTGGGACTAACAGGAACCAACCAGAAGGGTAGAGAAAGAGAAAGAGAGCCGGCAGAAAGCAGGGGAGAAAGACATGTCAACACAGGGAGAAGCAGGGCCACAGAGGGTGTCTCTCTCATCCCATAGGGTAAAGAGTTTGGCAGGAGCCTTTCTGTTCCCAGCACAGATGAACTGAGGTTTGAAGGCAACCCTAGAAGGCAGGGTTTTTCTAAAAAGGGAAGGCAGACACAGTACTCGGGTGCTTTCTGAATCCCGGAAGTGAAATCCAGAGTCCTCTCCTCTTCCTTCCTGTAGCGGAACTGACTTAGTCTCTGAGCCGGAGACTGCTGAGTGGTCCTGCAAGCCTGGTCCAAACAGCAGCACATGGCGCCGGAAGCGGTGCTTTCATAGCCCATGATGGGATCCACAACACGGGCAGCAGCCCAACTCCGCTTTAACCAAGATCACACATCGACACTAGCATCTCCACAGTACAAGAACAAATAAGCTCTAACCTGGGGCAGGAGTGGGGAGTCAGAGTTTCAGAGAAGCTGGATGCCACTTCCCTAGGCTCATCGATGAGCGACTACTGCGGGGCTCTTCAAGATGCTTCAGCCCCAGAGCTCATCCCTGCAATCTCTGGGTACAACCCGTGATGTGACGGTGTAGTCCAAGAAGAAACACTGAGGTCTTTATCACACCCGAGCAGCTGAAGGCTTGTAGGCTTTGCAACCTTTCTTCCCTCAATAGCATTTCTTTCAGCTGTGGGCCGGGAACGGAGAAGCTGCTCTGCCCTCTGCTGGGAAGAAATGACATCGCCTCTGTTAATAACAGCCAAGGAGCTGGGCTCAGGCAACCTGGGTTTGCAGGTTATCCGAGCCCATAAACTGTTGCGGCCAAGTCTTGTTCTAGAAATCGTGCTTCCTAAGACATCGTGCTTTGTGTTTCTCACCGTGAGCTTTGTCGGAATCAAAACCAAGTAACTTTTGCCAGCCCTAAGACAAAAGGGAACGAAGTAGGCAGCTGTAAGGGAAAAGTGGCTACCCCCAAGACTCTGTCAGACCGCAGCTTTGCTCAAGGGCCACCACGGCCCTATATAAGAATTTTTCTTCAGAGATATCTGCTCAGCCACTTCCTGTCACCCACAGGCTCCCATCGTCCTGGCTATTAATTCCCATGGCAAAAGCGGTTTATATTATAATAGTTTCTGTGTGTACCTTCTTCTTCTTCTTCTTTTTTTTTCCTTTAGACGCTTCCTTGAATACACGGTGGCCTGTGCACTCTGGGGTTCAGCGCTCTGCTGTACGTAAGCAGCTGCCCTTGTGTAATGGGGGCTATCACTGAGTGAGACTCCATGGGGTCTCTGGTGGTTCTCATGTGTCTACCCTAGGATACAACTGGGAGAAGTTCTTTCTTGCAAACCTTTGACTAAGAATATCTATTTTCAATGTTTCTTTGCTCCCTCAGATTAAGCCCAGGTGTCTGTCTGATCTCTGGGCCCAGAAAGGTGTCTTGTGTTGACGGGTGACTGTTTGAATTTCTGTCTTCCTGTGGTTTCACCAGACAGGGCTGTTGTTTTGCATTATCCTGTTGCCGGGATTGGTGCAATGCTCTCGGCCCACCCTGTGACTCAGTGGTGGAGACAGGGCTCTGCTTCCTCAAAGAGGTGCTGGGCGGGTAGGTCGGCCTCACTATCACCAGGGAGTGCCTCTGTGGTGGCCTAGGAGGAAGGCTACCAGGGGAATTGACCCCTGGGTGCAGCGAGCATGGTCAGAGCTGCGGCTGCTTTCCATACTCCTTGACCTTTCTTGTTCCTCTGCCCTCCATTCCACACTGTGAGTTGAGGAATCAGGAGGGTGGAAGGCAGAGGGAGAAGCATTTCTACTTGAGAAGGAAGGAGAGAAGAGGAGGTCTGGTCAGAGCCTTCATGGCAGTCCAACTCCTTGTCTCCCAGGGAATCTTAGGATCAGCCTCTATGGCTGCTCACCTCCCCAGCAGGCTCCATCTCCTCCCCTACCATGATGCAATGGAGGAGAGGATGTCTGCTCCATTCTCTTCCAGGCTTGACTGTCCTGATGTGGGCAAAGGAGAGCACTGAGTGACCGTCCTCACCCTTTCCTTCAAGGCCCGAGGTTTTATGGGAGGGGGTGGAGAGGGTGGCAGGACGGATGGAAGGTGCTGTGGGGTTCTCCTGCCCTTTCTTCAAAGCCTGCTACTCCCAGGGAAAGTCTGGAAGCCTCAGATCAAGTGTGACACCAAGGATTAATGGCCTGCTTCCCTTCCCATGTCCTGATTTGAATGTAGATGTTAGTACCCCCTTCCACCTATGATCCTGAAGACTCTTCTAAAGGACCCCATACTGCTCACATCTTCCTCTCCCTACTACCTCAGCTGCACACCGTAAGCCTCAGGCCCCCCAAATTTCAAATCCTTGACTGGGGGCACAACATCCTTTCTGGGAACAGGGACCATGTTCTTCCCAAGCTGTCATACAATTGTGGGAATTTCCCTTGGGGTTAGGACCACATCTTCTCACTAACCCTCTCTAGGTGCCAACTAGTAGGAAGTCTTGCACCCCAAACAAGACGGAATTGCCTGTGACTCATATCCAGCCCTAGCTTTTGAGAAATCTATTTCTTGAGGTTGGCGGCTGGGTGTGGAGTGAAACTGCAGCCTGCTGGGAGTGCAAGTGCACGTGTGAGTGTGTGTGAGTGGGAAAGAGGCTTGCTCTGGTGGCCTTCCAACGAAGTGCAGCAGCAGTCTGGGTTCTGGGCCAGCAAAAACTAGCTCTGAGCCATCCACCTCCTTACCAGGTAGCTCTCTGGCACCCCCCAAACCCGTTTAGACATTTTACCTTTCTTTTTATTATATATTTATTTACATATTTTGGTACTGTGTGATTATGTTCATGTATGTGTAGAGTCACAGGTGTATGCAGGTATGTATGTATGTGGATGTGCAGGCACATGCCATAGCACAAATGTGAAGGTCAAGGACAGCTTGTCAGTTCTCTCCTTCCACCACGTGAGTCCTGGGGATTGAATTCAGGTCATCAGGCTTGGCAGCAAGCTCCTTTACCCACTGAGCCATCTCACCAGCCCTT